AGGTTAAAATGTCTCCATTTTACTTAGTACAATCGCTGAACAGTCCATAGCAAACCCAGTCTGAGTTTCAATACTACTCAGGGGCGCCCAACGTCAATTTTCGGAAAATATCTGTTCGGAAGACGATTTGAGATCTAGAATTTTCAGAACATTTGTTTTAAAACTCTTACTTGCCTGCCTCTACTAGGATTTTCGAACATCTAAAAAAAATGGTATAAAATCCCATTTTTAACGGAGTTTTTACCCTAAAAAGCTCACCTACAATCTTGGGAGCCTTTTTTCTGGGTGAAATTTTCGAAAAGGTAAGTTTTGATCCTTATAATTTTCGGATCACTAGACTTTCAGTTAGGAAATCCGAACAGATGAAAAAGTTTTATGGGATAAAAATATGCCTATATCTACCGTTTAAATACTAAAATACGTTTAACAATTCTATGTTTAAGTGATTTTGAACTATATTCTCGTTGGCTGCCCCTGACTACTCTGGTATGGCGTGTAATTCGGATAAGCGAATTGAGCGGAGCAATGACGGTAGCTTCCCAAAAAACTCAGTTTTCTTGAGACTGAGATGCTCGCATCGATGTCCTCCAGTACCAAGTTCGCTATATTGCTCAAGAAGAGTGTTTTAAAACAATTCAGCACACTGAGTCATTGATTCAAACAATTCCATAGTAATGAAATCAAAACCTTGGTGTTCCAGTTAAGAGGGGACGTATGGCGAGCGTTTTTCCACGTTTCGTGTAAAATGCGCTAGAATTAAAATGACACACACCGTTGAAAAAGCTTAAAATGGCTTAAAACAACAAGAGAAAGGCATCAAACTCGTTCGCTAAAGAGTAAAAAGTAAATCAGATATCCATGGTTTTCAGGGAGCGCTTTAAAAGTTAATAGGTAAAATAATCGTGTCGTGTTATCGTCGATAACTCGTGATTAATTCAAATGATAAACTTGAGGACGACGTTGTGCTCATTTTACGCCCCTTTCTCCATCAATGCTCCGTTTTAAGGGTATTTAAAGCTAGTTAAAGCTACACAGAAAGGAGAGAAGTTGAAACAATGTTCTCTGGAATCGCGCTTGGACCTCGTGCACCGAACAGGGGGAGAGGGGGGGTCTCGAACCCCCTCCTAGCTCCCTTGCTCCACTTCCTAACGTGTCAGCTTAGTCAACTTATCCATTTCTGACCTTCCGAATCAGCATAAGAAACTTTGAAAAAGATCTATACATAGAATGAAGATGACATAAACCGCAGAAAATCAAAACATCGGTCAGTGTCCTTTGCCAAACACTTCTATTAAAATTTTAGGAATCTGATTTGATACTGGAGGCAATGGATGCCTTTAAAAAATCACACTTGAATAAGTTATTTGCGGCGAAAGTACATACATTTTTGCATGATGCT